GGGCAGGATCTGGGAATTAATTTTATGATGAATTTTGTGCTTTGTCAGTCATATATTAGGATGATCTGTATTACTACACCACTGCACATCTTGGTAACGTGGGCTGGCAAAAAGAGCATAAATATGAGGTAGGAATAGAAGGTGTTGACTACATGTAAAGGCTTCTCCTACTATGTTCACCCACCTCTGGAGAGGTTGTGTTACATGACAGTAATGTCATGTTTTGTAGCTGAGAAAGAGGCATTAAGGTATTTTTCAGTATAGCTTTAGGCTATGACTGCACGATGACTGGTGCAGCTATAGAGAGCAGCATAGTCTCTGTTGCAGTGCACTGACTACTCAGGCAGCCTCACGTAATCAATCTAGTTAAATACTCTTCTTCATAAATGCATAGATGTTCCGGGCACAGGTGAAAATCATCAGTGCTCCATAGATACAGAATTTATATGCATTATTCAGACTTAATTTATATGCACCCATTGTTCTCAGTAGTATGTGGCAGACTTGAGTATGCTGTCATAGCTTCCATATTTACCCTGATTTTTTATTATTATTTTTCTGTCAATTTCAAAGAAGAAAGCAAGTGAAAGACAACGGCTACTTATGTATAACAAAATAGGTCTTATTAGATAAAGATCTAGAATTTTTAAGAATTATAAATTGTCTAAGTGCATGTTTCTCTCATTGTTAGTACTATTAAATGCATATTAGCATGGTCATTTTTGTTTAATGGAAACAAATAACAGTTAATCTTATTGGGAGGTTAAGTGGGTTTACTCCGTAAAGGGCAAATCCCAGATGAATGTTTTCTTTTTTAAAGAATAGCTTTAGTCACTGACAGATGGTCTCTGTCTGAGACTCTCTGTAGACAGATACAGTTTCTTTTTACACATTTATGAAAGTTGTAGATACAGATATTCAGTAATAATGCTGTTGTGTAGGACAAAGAGCAAGCCTGGTGGATTGATAGGATTAGATTTCAGAGCAGTGACATATGGTTGGTTTATCAAAGTGGGCACAATATGAAAGAAAAAAATAGCATGTACCAAGTTACAGCTATTCACATAATGGAAGAATTTTATATTTGGCCAATTGCCTCTTACAAAAGACAGTATGATAGTTCTTATTTAACTCTGCTTAGAGCTGGGTATATCATTATTATGCCCTGATTACATGCATTTCTGGCTTTCAGCTAACTCTTCTAACAAATTGTCATGAGATCTTAAGTACAGAAAAACAATAATGCTCTGATTTAGAATATTGATAATTTGCTCACTGATCTACCCAATCAGATATCAATATCACTTACATTTGTATTGCAAAGTTGTTTTATAAATACAGCATCCATAATCCTGTGTGTTAAACCTACATTTTGCTTACCCTGTATGCTATGTGTAAAGTTATAACGTCATTATAACCCTGGTCAAATAACTATACAACATATTTTGTGGTAATTTGTCACACTAAAATTATTCATAGGTGTCTTGAGTAAGCCCTGCTATATTTATGTGCTGTGCCATACCATGTTTTTTGGCAATGGAATTTGCTAGATTTCATAGATTTACTGTGTCTGCTTTTTTTATGACTGACATAGCAATAACCAGATTGCAAGGATATTTATGTTGTTTGTGGCTTAGCAAGATAATTAAAGGATATAAATTAATCAAGTGCAATTAATTAGAAACTTTATGTTCACAGCAGTCCTTCTTTGCATGTATAATTTATATGTATTGATTTCCTGGCTTTCATTAGCCTATGAGATAACAGCAAAAATGCATTAGAGAAGAAAATGTACAATTAGCGTGAGAGTGAACCCCGGCATAATTGATAGATCAGCACATGTTTGGGGCAAATATAAAGCTTTGTTAACTGTCATAAGCAGTTAGAATTGATAAGTGGTATTTCACTACATATCTCTCAGCTGATTAATGGTGTTTTTAAAGAGTCCTCTTAATGGGAAGCTGATAGGCTGGTTGAATTTACATTTTAATCAGAGTATTTATGATGGAGGCAGCCATAAGAAATTCATTGGCACAGTGGTAAGGGCCTTTCCCTGAGGGATTTAGAGGAGAGAAAGCATTTTAACACAGCTACTCACCTTTCCCTTCTTTGTGTGACTTGGTCAGCACACAGGAAGGGGAAGCTCATTTGCTGGCAAATATTGGAATAACTGTTGTTAAGGAGAATTTCAGTTTCTACTATGTGAAAAGTAGCAATATGAAATACGAATGACAACCTACAGAATACTTGCAGACTTAGGAAAGAGTTAGCTGTGCTATCAACAAATACAAACCACAGTGATGACGTGTGGATCTTCATGGTGAAAACTGCTGTGTTTTACTTACAGTTCTGGTAAAACAGCGCACGATGCTCTGTAGAATCTGTAGAAAAGATACTTAAAAGCATTACTCCATCTTTACATGTTGGCTCTGTTGTTCTATCTTGGAGTTAAAGGACAAAAGGTAAATTGGAACTTATTGGCTATGCTTTCCTTTTAAAATATTTTTCTCATCATACAAAAAAGACCCAACAGAACAAACAAACAAAAAAAAAACACTAATGCAAGTGATTTTAAAAAAGAAAGAAAAAAAAAAAAGAGGGAAAGCAGGACTAAAATTGGATCAGAAAAAAAAACCACACACAAATATTTGGAGATTTAGGGAAAGCTGAACAAATTTCTAACTGCAGACATGCATACTAAAAAATATGTGTCTTATCCTCAGAAAAAGGAAAGTCAGAAGTGAAGCAAGTAGAGGTATAAATTCCAGAAGAACATACTATTTTTTCAAGTTTTGTTCCACAATTCCTACCACAGTCTCACTTTTTTTTCTGGAGACATGTTTCTGGAAGAAAGTTCTTGATCAGAAACTGTTCAGAACTATAAATCTCAGTTTGATGGAATTTGGGGAGAGCGTTGGGTTTAAAACATCTTTTAGTGTTTTCTACTGATTGTCCTTTGAGAAAGTCTGTGTTTAGTTGGATAGCTGTGTTGATTCAGAAAGGAAACCACATAGAAAAATCAGATATATCATTTAGATGTGTCTTTTCTTAGGTTCAGTTATGGAAGGAGTTAAGATTTTTTAAAGATTTTTTATAACTGAACTGAATTTAGGCTTAAGTGATATAACAGACTGAAATCTTCTCAGCCAAAATAACTGGAGATAAGGATATTCATAAGCTTAGTATTATGTTCTTCTTGGTAGTCTGTTAGCACAGGAAATGTTTAACTTAGGTTTATGAATTACTGAATGAATCCACTGTCCATTTTTCCTGTTGTGTGGATTGGGCCCTCTCTGAAGATTTTGGGAGAAGGAGCAGATAGGTGTGGATCTCAGTCTGAAATCACCACGCACTGGTTTTCCTACATCAAAAGTTTCTCCTTTTACCCACATCTGATTTTGTGAAAAGTACAGTAACTTCTCTTTTCTTAGCCTTCTCTTCTCCTAGCTTCTTCCCTTCCTGTTCTCTGCTGGAACCGTTAGCACAGTTTTATTCTTACATTAATCAAACAAAGCCTAAGTAACAAAAAAATGTGGTAAATATGCTGCTTATTTGCAGGCAGCTGCTTTGATAATCATAAGCTTTTTGTTCCTGATAAGGTTGGAATTACCCTAAAGTTCATACTGATGCTTGATAACTTTCTAGTAGAATATTCTGGATAAAACTTATTCTGATTGTCTATTGAACAAAAATGTCAAATAGGTAAGTATGCCAGAATAGTCAGAGCCAGTTTGTAATTTGGGCTTATGATTCAAGAGTGTCCAGCTCTCCTTTGTAAGAACACGTGCCTACGTGTTGTTTAAAAAAATCCAACAAACTAACATTTGAGTTATTTGTAGGTACATCATTCCTTGAAACTAGAAGCTTTCATATACAAGAAAGTTTTCAACTTATATTTTTTATTTTCTGTTATTATCAGATTTCTATATGTAAACATATGCTACTGTAATAAAAATATCTAGTCAGTGCACTTACTGTTCTCATTATAGCAAGCATCTAGTGATTAAGCACTACATCTTACCTCATTTAAGGAGTAGTTCAATATGACAGGACTACAGTCTTTCTTCACTGTTTTTATTGAGTTGTTTCATGCACCGCATTTTCTTGATAAATTCTGCTTGGTACCCTTTTATATAGTGATTTCATAAAGTGAGCAATATCCATGTGTTTTGTCTGAAGTGTATTAACAAAGACTTTAAACTTTAGCTTTTTTAACTGTGCTAAATGGGTGATAAGCTAAAAGTAAATCATAGAATGTTAAATATACATATGGTATAAGAAAGGAATGGACATCTGTTAAGTCTGTGGACCAGCACTCCTGCATACCTTGCAATATTTGTATGATTAGTGCTGAGAATTCACTTCCAAGTGAACGAAGTGCATGTGTAAAAATTATTGTGGACGTTAAACTTGAAAATAAAAAATATTTTAATGTCTACATGCAATTCTAAAATGAGCAAAATGAAAAACTACTTTTAGATGTGGTGTCTTATGGGAATAATAAATAAATGTTTCCTCGAATCTCGGTTTATACTGAAAGTCAGATGTAAAATAGATGGTTGTTGCATAGCAGGTGTTGAATACATGGAGATGTAATCTTGTTTCATATGATGTAATTTACACACTCCTAAGAATAAAAATAAAACGTACTCAGGAAAAATTATTATAGGATTCTGTGCCAAACTATGAAGACATCTTTTGAAAAATGTTCACATGACTGAATGTTTTTCCATCTTCATGTATCTATTTTATTTAAATAGTAGAAAGGTAGACTATGAGTAGATGACTCTGGAAATTCTACTGTCTATAAATGTCCTGTTGTAAATGAATTGAATAAGCACAGCTGGGGATAATATCGCAGGAGCAAAATTCAGAATTTATCTATAATTCCTGCTAAATTGCTTCACGTGTACTTTGGGATTGTTGTGTAATGTTTGTTTGTTTTTCTTTAACTTCAAGATCAGGTTCTTACATTTTCTAATACTTTGGGTTCTCTCCAGTTTAATGCCAAGAACTCTCCAGGAGTGAAAATCTGTCAATATTCCAATAGAGAAGATGGAGCTGCAGTCGTGTGATAAAGATCTTCTATGTAAGTTGTTGATGTGAATGTATTAATTTAGTTTATATGCACCAGGAGAAGAGCTACTTAAGCAAGGTATTGCTGTCTACTAACCACTATAAATTACCCTGTCAGGGGAGCATGTCCAGGATTTTACATGAGGTTCTTTTTTTTAGTTATAGGATCCTCACTGCTGTCTAACTCAAGAGCCCATTGCTTTAAAAGCAGTTGGAGAATGCTGCACTAGGCATTTTTTTAATGTATGGGGTATTGCAAACAGAAATATCTACCTGAATGCGATCGAAGTGGGTTGTTTGTCTTACAGACCAAAATTTTCCAAAATCTGTCTCCTACATTGTAAACAGGTACCTGATACTCCTTTCTGAGAGGCAGGACATTGTTCTAAAGGTTTGAATGGAATATCAGTGTAGAAATATGCTTGTTCTATGCTCTCTGCAATTTAACATATTTTTGCTTAATGTCCAGTTTAATAACTGTGGGGAAGCTGATGAAAGCTTTTTTTGTGACCATAGCTTCTTCCTGCACTTTTTATTTTATTGATAGCTGATCTAAATTCACAGGTGAATAGGAGTAATGAGGACAGAACTCTTGCTCAGGAAAACAAGCCATTTATTCTGAAAGAAAGAGGGACACTGTGTTCTAAAGACCTAAAGTTTTTGTGTGTCAGAATTTCATAGCTGACAAAGCAAGCAGTGTAATTGGCCTGACTGAGCCACACTATCTGAGCCTCTGGAATAGAGGAAAAAAAAATGGAAAGGAGAAAAGTATATACTACATACAGTAAGAGGAGTTGTGGATTTCAGGAAAAGAGAAATGTTAAGCTTGAGAAAGGTGTGTCATCAGTTGTTTGCAAACAACCCTGTTCTAGTGCAGGTTATAGCGAGGACGTTGGTGAGATTACTGGCAGTGGGCTCATGCTTTTATTTTGGCATAGTAAGTAACCATTGTAATGACATCTGGCCACTTTCATCACATATGACAAAAATGAGACATTTTGTGTACAAACTGCAGAATGAAAGACAGTTTTTCTGTTCTTCAATGAAATACGTTTTCATGTGAGAAAAAATATTGAAGTTTTCACATACATATATATATGTATATATGTATGTATATATGTATGTGTATATATGTATGTGTATATATATATAGCTTACACTTACCACTCTATTTAGAGCCAGTTTACAATGAGATGTAAGATGTATATAGGACTTGAATTTCTAAAGTGTGAATGCAATCCCGTTAAATAATTTTCTTATTTCTCCAGGGATTCTATAAGTGCTTCAATATGTGATGATTACTTGATTATGTTTTAAGAAATTATGGGATTTTTGGCTTTAGTGAACATGATAGCTTTGTAATTCAAATGTTGAATGCTTCTTTGTAAAAGTGTAATACTTCAAAGAAAATGGTCAAATTTTCTATAAAATGTATGATACTCTTTAATGTGAATATGGTTAAGTTTTTAAATTTTGTGGAATATGTTGAACAGGACTGCAAGTGGAGAATATCTAAATCTCCTTGCACAAAGGTGAAATCCATTCGCTTTCGAATGATGAACTCAAATTTTGAAGAATTATTTGAAAGGTCCTTGACTATGCTTACAAGCGTGTTAATTGCATCTTAATTTCTTTTTTGCACATTGTCTTGCTTCTTTAATACGGATGGAATTTTTTTTAGCAACAGCTTTGGCTTCCCTTATTATGCTTCTATCTATTTTTATTCCTGGATTGCATCTGCTCAGTAGTTATCTAATCTTTCTTAGAAGTTTACACTCTCAAGTAAAAGCTTTGAAGTTTACACTGATTAGTGTTTTATGACATAAGAGATATGTATAGATCCTTCTTTGCAGTGCTAAAGCTATTATGCACCTGGTGGAAACATAGACATTAAAGCATAGATGACAAACCTTTAAAATATTTTGTAGATTAAAGTACTGAATTACTCCCCACTCCTCCTTCAAGGTCCTCAATAATATAAAAAATTCTGCTAGTTTGGTTTCTGAAGGGAAGGACTTCGCATTTGTAATAACATACTGTCAGACCTGAGAGCTTTTACAAAAAATTAGCAGATGGTTAATAACGTGCTCTTTAATTAGAACTACATAAAATATCACCTATTCTAGTCCCTTGCCATAGTACTATCTGGCATTTTTAACAATATTCTCAGATATTCTTTTTGTTGCTATGGTTGGTAGAAAGGCATTGAGTTCCACAAACATCTCCAGGTAGATCTAGTGTAGTCTGCAATACTAAAAAGTCAGTGGTATGGAAGGTGCAGTCCTAAGCAGCTATTTGCAGACCTAGAAATAGTGTAATCTACCCGAAAGCAAATGTTTTTTCTTAATATTTATATATATATATATTTATGTACACATGAAAATGTGCAACTTCCTAGCGCACAAAAGTTTGATGTTTATTATAAAGCCTCTGAAATCTAAGGACAAAGAAGTACTTCTAGGGATAATCAATGTATGAAATATGAAAAATAAATGAATATGCATAAAAATGAAAAGAAGGAATATTAAAGAAAGTTAACTTTAATATGTCGACTTTTTTCCTGACAGTTAATACTTAAGTTTTCTGGCTTCTAGCTCACTAAATCTGCTGATGCACAAATAGACAAGTTTCTGCTTCCTGATTTTACTGAGTCTCGTGTAAAATGAGCTTATGAGGATTCTAACCATGGTAAGGAGAAAAACAGTCATTTGTTTTCAGGTGTTGCAATAAGTACAGAATCTTTATGAAGTATGGCTGAAAACTGGTAGCATTTTTTTACTTCAAGTACTTGTATAATTTGTACTCTGTCACTTACACAATCTAAGACAATGCCACTACAGCCACCATGATACTTTATATTCAGTAACACTGCCACTTCCATTTGTTCTCAGGAGTTATGTTTACTTTGGAGATGAGGGCAGTTTCACCAAAGGTGCTCCAAAAAACACTGTGGTTAGTGCTTTTGGTGGAAGCAATCTGGACACCACCTGAGGTTCCTTTCTAAATCACTCTTTCCTCATTACATTTCTTTTTCTTTTCTGCTAGAGAGATCATTATAAACTTTCTTAGGCATCTTCTGAATTAAAAAGAGTTTACTTGAAAACTGAGCATTGTGTAGTATTATAGAAGTGTCTGGAAATGAGAAGAACCTTCTTATTATTCTGCATAACAATTCTAAACATACCATTTAAAATGCATATCTTACATGTAAATATGTGCTTTGTTCTATAGATAAAAATGGATTGACTTATGTATTTTTTTCTTGCACAAGCATTTTTTTCTGTTTTGCTACACCGTTTGAAATGTCTTGTTCAGACCAAATCATTCAGTGCTTTTCTTCTTTAATCTTGGATTTGAATGTACCTTGCTGTGCCTTAGAACTATCAGCAGCATGCAGTGATTGTACAGGTATTTGGCTTAGTTTTCTGTGAATCGTGTAGATCTTGATACTGATTAATATCTGAGGGAAATAATAAAATCACAGAACCAGGCAACCTGTGAAGGTTCTGGGGGAAAACATCAACAAATGGAAAAGTAGAACAATAAAATCTATTCATTGACAGAGTTATTTGTATTAACTACATATCAAAATAAATGAAAGTAAATTCAGGATATCCACAAGATGAGATTTTAGCACTAAGGCATTTGATTGGCCAAGATGGATGAGAAAGGAATAGTCTAGGAAGATTTCATCAGCTTGGGACTCTCATTAAGATATTTTTAGTGGAAAAGGAGGCTGAGTGGCTCAGAGTTCAATTGACCCAGTGAGAATCTTAGTTTTAAAAGCTAAGAATTAAACAAGCCCAGGAAAGTAACACAAGTGAAAACTAAGATCTTGTTCTGGGAATGCCAGATAGTATAAGGTTGAGAAAATATGAAGCAAGTGGAAATCTGCATGTTGCTAAGCCAATACGTGGGAAAAAGTGAAACATCCAGATTGTTCTCTAGGCAATAGTAAAGGGAAAGGAACTGGGAAGATGAGTTATCTGTTGTGTGAAAAAAGAAACCCTGTGGGAGCACTTAAAGAAGTGACGTGATGTGAGTATGTGACTTCTGAAATATTTTTGTAGAATATTACGAGTTTACAAGTAAAGATGCTTTTTAAATTAAAAGGGAACCTTGCGCTTCTCTAGCTGGACTGAAAGCCTTGAATTTCTGTGGAGTCTTGTAAGCCAGCATGCTGAGCTTGGAGTTGTAGTGTGCAGATACATTAGTCACCTGAGGGATTTGGGTTGGTATCCCATGTACTTAGTTTTCTTCATTTCTTAAACAGGTTGATAAGAATTCTTGCTGCTTCCAAGTCTCCTGTGCTTTGCTTTAAAAATTGAACACCCAACTCAGTGTTTCCACTGAAGAATATCCTTCGAATAAGTAAAGCAGGGCTCTTTGGAAACAGTTGGATAACATTAATCTCAATAATTAATGGACTATAAACTGATGTAGAATTGCTTCCTGTTTCCTGTAAGTCCTAGAATTTACAGAGTTAAGTGAATTTGTTTGCTGAGAATATTACTGATAGTATTGCTATGAATATTTTTTGGGAAGATCACAGAAGAGTATATTTTGAGATTAAAAAAAAATCTGAAAAAATACTGTTGTATGTAACATTTTAAAAGAATAATAGTACATCAGTATGTTTTCCTTTGAAGGATACTCTTAGTAATTCATTTAAATAGAAAATAATCTATTGTTGGCTTACTGTTTCTAATGATGTTCACATTTACATTCTATATAGTAGGGGCAGCAGCTTGACAGAATGACACCACTTTTCCTTGTATTTCAATGGATTGTTTATATGGATGTAAATAAAGAATGTTTAGGATTAAAATCACAGAACTGTTGGAACTGGAAGAGACTAAAGATGATCCATTTCTAATCCATGGGCAAGAGTATCTTCTACTAGACCATGTTGCCCAAAGACCCATCCAACCTGGACTTGAGCTTTTCCAGGGATGGGGCAGCTACAGCTTCTTTGGGCAGCATGTAATACTCACTTTTTTATTTTCATAGTAA